GTCTCCCTGCAGCAGCCCCAAACCTTCCTCATCTCACAATGTCGCTCACCCTCGCGCATTACAGCAGCTTTTCGGCAGCTGCGCCCATCGCGTCTTAGCATGAGATACCCACCGGTACGCTGGTTCACAGGCCGACTTGGGCCGCCGGCCTCCCGTTCAATGTGCACATCCGAGCGAGTCGACGTGTAAACGCGGCGCTCACACCAGTCGTTGGTGCGCCGCACAATGAGGTGAACGAGGAACTCGAGCCACGAGAAGGAGTGTAGAGCAGCGGCCTGCGCAGATGCGTCAAAACGGGTGCGGTCAACCTGCTCGGCAGCGTCTGCGGTGAAGAAGGAGAAGCAGCTGTGGCCGTACCACTCCTGCGGAGTACGTACATAGCGGCATCTTGGTACACCCAGTGCACCAAGAACTTCGCCTGCGCGTCAGTCCCGCAGCGCGAAGCATAAATGCGCTGACGCCGTGGGCACCGCACGACCAGCTCAGCTCTTGAGCCTCCCTTCTTCCTCCAGTCGGCTCCAAAGATCCCCCCAGCAAGTTTGCCCGATTGGTGGCGCCGATCTACGCCGATTTTCCAGCACCTCTCGGCAGCGGACATCGCCGAGCTAGCTCAAGAGCTAGGACCCCCCTCGTTCGCACTTGCCTCGGTCGGCAAGGGAGGAGCAGTTAGCCTGTCCTTGCTCTACTGGGACAATCGCTGCTTGCTGGGCCCCGTTTCTCTGATCGAATGGAGCCCGGAGCGCCGCCCGCGGACGGTTTCTGGGACACCGGCCTTGTTGTGCTGGTGAAGTACGAGGACGGCACGCACAGGCTGCTCAACATGGCCACGGGACAGTACGCCAATTTGCAGGCGGAGGTGGGCGGGGGGGAGCGGCAGCAGCCGCAGTACATTGTGTGCCAGCAGTCGGGCGCTGAGGCGCTGCTCAGGCGCATGGGAGAGCAGGCGGAGGGAATGGAGGTCGTTGGGGGGGCCCCTGAAGGGGAGTCCCCGGATGGTAAAGAGTCTGAAGACGCGGCGATGCGGTGAGTTGGCTTGCATCTTTTGCAATTTTTTGGTGACGGCCGCGAGCCGCGGGGGGTGTCCGGGGAAGGTGCGAGTGCGGAGTCGAAGGACGAAAAAATCTTCTCCGCGCTGGAGGGGGATTGATGCGCTGTCCGGAGAAAGCGCAATGGAAGTACGAAGTTAGTGCGCCGCGGGGGGCCTCCCCCCTGGGGCCCTGTCCCAAACCGGCGCGTTCCTCAGCAGCACGGAGCCGGCTCCCCGAGCGCAGCAATACCGGATCGATCCCCCAGGACCGCGTGTGCAATAATTCGCAGCGACCCCGATTTGAAATCACGGGCGGGATCTGGCCGCAAGCCGCGGGCAGATGGCGGCATCGCCTCCCTGTGCATCGTCTGGGTGCATGCTTTGGCCGCATACATCGATTGCCAACTCACTTTTCGCGGTTTGTTCACCAGGGACGTGTCCTGCGGCACGCCCCGCAGCAGCGACGGAGGCTCGACCCCGCCGGCCGGTTGGCCTGCGCGCCAGAGGCGCAACTCGGCGCCCACCCAGGGCGGGGACTGGCGCCTGGCGACGGACCCGGATGAGGACAGGCGCATTCGTAACCGCGCCGCGCAGCACAGGTTCCGCGAGAAGCAGAAGCAGAGGATCGCCGACCTGGAGAGGGAGATAGCGGAGCTGAGGGAAAAGGTGTGGGGGGGTGGGGGCGGAAAGGGGGAGGTGGGGAAAAAGGGGAGCTGTGCAGGGGTGAGAATCTTCGGGGCGGGTGCGCCTGAGACGGGCCGCAGCACGGAGGGGGGCGGCCCGTCTCTGGGGGTTTAATTCATTTGGTGCCGCGTGCGCGGGTGATTTCGGGGGCAGCGAGGCAGACGAGAGCTTCCTATTCTGCCCGAGGAAAGCGGTGGTTGTAATCAGCTCATTAAAATCTAATGTATAACGCAAAAAAAGTCTAGGAATATATGAAGCCCTAATGCCAGGAAGCGTTTGTCGATGATAATACATTGAAAGAAGTGTCTAATAATTACAATCATGATGATGTCATGATTTCGGGGGCAGATCATCCGATTGATCAATCGAGGGCCCAATGGGAATGGAATGGGGGAATGGGGTACGGCGAATGGCGGGGCAGCACTTCATTGGCTTCGATATGGCTGCGATACTTTGCCTCCCTTGACCAACCCGCGTTGAAGGGACTGGCTGCTGAAGGCGCGCGCGCCTCTTCATGCTGAGGTGTCTTCGTGATGCACTCGAGCCCTGGAAGCGCTTTTCCTGCGCTTTGCTCGGGAAAATGTTCGGGTCTGGGCCGAATTTTCCCAAGGAGTATTGATAGTGCCCGGCACACTGGCAAAAACACCTAATTAGCACGATTTCTTAATTTGGTGAAATTGTGGTAGATTGCAACCAAATTGTGGACTTGATGCTTCGAGCGTATTGAAATGGGACCAAATTATGCTAACTGCGTAACCGCATTGGTAATCCTGTAACCGCGCATGAAACCGCAGTTTTGGTACCACCTTTTAATCAGTGAACAGGCACCTCCTCTGCAAGGCTCCAGCCCTGGACCAGAGGCCCACGGCGACGCGGCTGCATCATTTAAATGTTGCATTTCATGTTTCAATTTCCGATCCCGTACGCAGTATACGTGTGGAGAACTGCAGTCCTAAGCGCTCTCAGGCATGAATGTATTCGAACAAAAATAGGAAATTGTTCCTGCGGGGAATGTGGTAGACGTTCCAGCTGAGATGGAATAATTTTCAGACAACATGCTGCGTGGGAGCATGTGATGTGTCTTCCAGTGGTGGCACGGGTTCTAGTGTCGCTTTTCCCAACAACCGTTTCCCGATCCGCCTCAGGTCCACAAGCTCGAGATGAGGAATGCCGAGTTGGAGAAAGAAAACGACATATTGTGGGCTCATTTGCAACACCACGGCGGACCTGCTAAGCCCCAAACGAAAGATGGAGATATCGTACTCTGAGACAATCTTGCAATGAAAGGTATGTTCCCGCACACCCTCTAGATCTGGCTGCGCTGTTTCCAGCACTCGACGAAATGTCGCGCCAAAGGCCCCGTTTTGGAGAAGATTTTCCGTCCCTTTACGAGAAGAATGTTTGGTGATGTTTCACTGGTGAATTTTCGCCCATTAATCCCACCGCAAGTTCGTGCAGGGAGCTACTCCAGAAATCAGGTGCGATTTGGCCAATGGAACAGCGCACACATTCCAGATATCTGTGCAGTTTAAATGTCCTGAGCAGGGCAGATGATAACTTGTGCACTGCGTGCGCTGGGGGTGCAGGGTTGCAATGGAAATCAGCTCATCACGCTTTCTGACCAGAATCTCTGCGGGGACCGCCAAGGATCACGAATGGAGGAAGAAATTGACATCGCCCGGCTGCTCTTGGTCTGCCTTTAAGCCCTTTTCAAGTCCAAATTCTGGCACAAATAAATCGGCGCAGCACTGGAATGCCATTGTTGTGGCGGTCCGTAGGCCTAAGCAGATGTGTTTCTATAGATTTAGAGTCATTCATAGGTTCATTTAATTGTGCATTGTGGAGGTTCATTTGATTGGTGGGGATGAGGTTCATTTGATTGCGCGTTGTGTAGATGCCTGAACTCTGTGAATATTGAAACATACTAGGAGAGATGGGAGCATGAATGAATTTTAGGTTCAACCGGAAATTCGCATCAAAACTTCTTGATAATGTGAAGGAAAGTGCTTTGCTGATTAAAATCGTGTTTCGTGGATCTCATAAGATTTGCTTTGGATAAAGCGACAAGCGTCGAGCCGCAAAAGCATCGAACAATAGCGAGCATCCTCTATGTTCTGCCGTATTACGGATGCCAGGAATAAATACACGTTGTCAACAACAAGTCCCATCCCATGCTCTTCAGAATTCAGATGACGCCAATTGTCTAACATGTCCATGGGGCTCGCAGAATTCCAGATAGGAAAGGCGCTGATTCAAACTCGATTTCACGATGTGGCAGATGAAAAATTGCCATCTTGCTTTGGAGTTTGCTTTCCAGGGTTCCTAAACTTGTTGAAGTGCATGACCGCCATCGTATTCGCATATCCCTGGCGCTATGCAGCACTGTCCTAAAGGCAGATTCTCAGAATGCGATGGCATCGATGGAAATGCGGACTTCACGAGTACCGAAACTTTCCATGAATTGGAGTCAAGCCTGCGCCTGTTTTCAACAAGATTGCGTTCATGGCTTATGAGAAGATCGGTATTTTGGGGGACAAAAAGCTATTAATGACATGACCCAGCAACGACATCACATTTGAGCAATTATCATCACGTATGACGAATGCAGAAATAAGCGAACTCGAACTGAAAAAACGTTTCAACAGAAGTATCCACCATGCATATGTTGAAAAGAGCGCAAGTCATACAACGGACATATGGTGTGGAGGACAACATGTTGGCGAGATTGTTTCCCATGATACACAATTATATACTTACAGAATCTCTAGTATCTGAGTGGAACATCGCTCCACAATCGAGTCCTTGAGACATCACAGCGCTCACAGCTTAGTGCCGCAAATCATGGCGGACACACACTCGGCCCGTCCCATGCCGTGAAATGATTACAAGTGTTGTTCTTGAAATCAGTGCAACGAGTGGCACAGGTGCCCTGCAAGAAGGCTGGTCATTACGTCGAAATGCTCGTCATTAGGCTGGTTGGGTGCTTGAAACTGGCTCACGCACCAGCAGGCCCCTCTCTTGACCCTCCTGTTTCCTGGCTAGGACGCGAGCGTCAGCTGAGGGCGCAGCCATTGACCGCACCGCATTCGTTCAAGCGGAGCATTCAAGTACATTCAAACACACCCTTCCCTTGTTCCACTGAGGCCCTGTCATTGCACAGTAAGGCTGGCACCCTACCCTAATCTACACGCACACCGAGTGCAATCCTAGTCTAGGGCATAACTGCGCGGGTTGCTGCGTCCCAAAGGCCTTCTCGTGCCTCCCCGTCGGACGCTCCGCGACGCGAGCCATGCCGGTCGGCGGCAAGCTCCACCTCAAAGGTACCCCCGTCGGTGCGATCCCTGGACGCTTCCACACCCCGCACCCCCGGCAGGCCTGCTGGTCGCCAAAACGCGAGCCCTCGCGGCGCCAGTCGCTCGATGCAGCTCTTGCTTCCGCAATTGCAGCTCTTGCCTCTGCCATTTCAGCTATCGCTTCTGCGATTTCCGCTTCTTCCGTTCGTTGATGTGCGCAACCGTCCACGTCCGTTGTTCTTTTGTAGTCGCCCGAGCTCGCCGGCGTGCTTCCTCTTGATCGGAGGGAGCGGCCGCGGCAAACTCGTGCCCACGACGGTGCCTCGCATCCACCCACCCTCCGGGCTCTATCATTTTTTGACAGCGTGGGATAGATTCTCGCATACACATGGTTGGGGGGGTTGCACATCGTATGACCTGCTTCTTTCTCTCTTTGTAACAAATCTTACGCCACCCTCCCACTCATCCTTTCTCCTCTCCCCCGCGGCGCTTGCAGGGCGAGGGGAGCGGGGTTTGGGCTGAAGGGATGAGAGGGGTCCTGAGGGCGGGGTGTGGCGCTTTGTGGCAGGGGACAAGCCGCTGAAGGGCGTCAAGAAGAAGAGGAAGCAGAAGAAGGGCGTTGCTGTCGTGCCTGCGGAAGAGGGGGAGAAAGAGGGACAGAAAAGTGGGTAGAAGACGTTCGTTTCCAACACTAGGTGTCGCGAAAGTGGGTGCACGTCACCGTCCGTGCTATACCCGAAGAAAATGTAAGAAGACAGAGAATGTATCAGGGTCACGTCCAGGGCATGCATGGTTCACCTCAATCAACACAAACTCCAGGAAGAAACCTCTGTAAAACAGCACACGCCTGAAGCAAAATGACCAGGATGCCTCCGTCAATTGGGATCAATTGGGTTGGCAGCCCATATGCCCATATCTGACTGGCCTCAAGGGGTAGTAAGGTGGGGTTATCTTACTTGTTGGGTCTGAGGTTCGTACGGCTGAGTAGCCACATGGAGTTGGTCTGAAGCTTTGAGATGTGGAGGACTGGCCCATGGACACTTCTGAGTTGCACCACCTTAAACTGCATTCAACTGTGGATTCAACAGGCCTCTGTGTAACAGTACAAAGAGGCCACCTGGCCTTTGCTGCTCATCTGAGGATTTTCAGCTGCTTGTTGCAATGCATTGTTTCTTTCAGTACACTCAGAAACTGCCAAACCACTTTGTTGCATGGCAGAGGATCTTGGACACCTGGTAGCGGGTTCTGAAAATGCCTTTCAACCCCACCCCACCCCCTTGTTCAACCTGGGCACAAGCTTCCAGTCGTCCAAACTGCTCCAGGTTATGTGCTATTCTTGTTGCACTTGGAGCCTTCTGCATCTTGCTCACTGTGGGAGAGAAAGTTAAGAACGTCCTTGCCCAGGAAGGGGAGACTTCTGTGTCTTGCTCACTGTGGGAGAGCAAGTTAAGAATGTCCTTGCTCAGAGTGCTCGTTGCATGCCATGTCCCATCATATAAAGAAGGATGGCTTTCTGGGGTGGGTACCTTTCCATTGCATGCGCCTTCCCTGTACGACACAGTCTGCCTGGGCATGCTGAGGCTGACTGTGCTTCACAGCAATTGAGGATGTCTGTTGTGCGTCCTTTGGCAGGTAAGAAGCCAGCGGTGGACCCAGCTTCTGTGTCTGCTACGGGACACACCTATGAGCAGGAGTTCCCTAGTGAAGTGGAGAAGGGGCGGGTAGGTGAACAGGTGCCATGAGCCATGCAGCGACACAGATTCACGTTACAGCTAAGCTTGCCTGCCCATGGTCTCAATCTCCTCAGCAGTATTCATTGTGAGCGCAGGAAGGGAAGACAAGAAACACGCCATGGGGATCATCATACAGGGCGCCTCCACAGATCCTTCATGGTGAGCAAGCCAGCCACAGTCATGGCTTTGGGACTTTGGGGATGAGAATATAAACCTATATTTCCTGTGGCATGAGCAACAAGAGTGAAAAATCAAAGCCAACGATACAGTGCAACAAGCCCAACAGCAAGTCCACTGATGCCAGTTTGTTCATTAACAGTAAACAAAACCCTGGCACCAGGCCTGCAGTGCTGGTCACAGTTCCACATGTCAAATCAGAGTGTTTGCATATTGTCCATGTATATCATATGTGTACAAGGGGCATTCTTTGGCACAGCCAATGCATCCCAGGAATGTCCATATTGGGTCTTGGGCCCTTCAGTTCTGTTTGCATCAATCCTGATGGTAGGGGCAACCATGAGCTATCCGCTGGCGAATGCAAAGTTCCATCTGGTGGCTTGCAGATGAACAGCCAACTGCAAGATCCTGCTTGAATATACACTCTTGGGCAGTTCTACATACTCAGGGAAGTGAACAATGGGGTACGAGACACATGGTTGTGGCACCTTGCCATCACCTTCCAATGCACTGTTCTCCTGTGCAAAGGCAGAAGGGAATCATGTACACATCCTAGTGTGCATGCGCTTCTTACTGCTTCGTTTGTTGATGTCCATTTGCAGGATACAGAGTGGAGGTAAAGGGTGACAATGCCCAGGAAAGGCTTGACCTCAGATGCGCGAAGAAGGCAGACAAATTCTGCAAGTAGGGATGCAGAGGAGCAAGCAGCAGGGCTCCACACTACTTACCATAATACAGAACAGAATCACAACCTGCCCAGGAGGTTGCCAAGGTCAATGTGACCCAGTCCCTGGCTCTCATGCAGGACTAAGGCATGTGCACACGAGAGCATCGTTGTGCGTGTCTATGAGTTGCTTGATTTGGGGATGGGTCGCCCTCATCCTGTTTGTGGATTGCTGACCACATGTGGTCACGCAAGTACATGCTTGCTTCTGGTTCACCCGCTTTGAGAGCCCATGTGGCATCAAAGACAGCAGTCCTGTGGTGGTGATGTTGAGGCACAGGTGTTGAATGGCACCAGCTAGGGCCCCCTGCTATTGTAGAAGTTGCTGCATACAGGTGGGCATGTCTGCCAAATCAGATATGTCAAGTGCCACAGCTGCTGGCTTGCAGCTCTTCATCAAAAGTAGGTGGAATCTTGCTTGGATGACACGGGTGGATGTTGGCGCTGTTGTAGCTGTTGTGTTCCTGCTGCTGGTGGCTGCACTTGGTGCCACGGTGACTGGTTGCAATGCGGTCAATAGCAGATGCAGCTATGATTCCGTGTACTTGCCATCCAGTGGCTCATATACTGGAATAGGAACTTTGAACTGGTTGTCAGACAGTACTATCTCTTATTTGGTTGTAGTGGATTTGCAACTATGGTATCCATTGGTAGATTTCTGGGCAGCAACAGTTGTTCAGCCTTTTGCCATTCTCTGCTTGGCAGTAATCAGTGAACTTGTTGTCAAGGTGTGCAATGAGTGGAATGAGGCTTGCCTTACTCTTTTCATGCACCTCTCACACACTGCCATGATTCTGATGGCTGCTTCAGGTTGGCTGCAGTTATCCCATGGTCCAATTCTTGCCGGTAATTAACTTGCCAAGGAGGAACTTAGGTTCCGGTTGGAATGCTTACAAAGCTGTCCATTGCAGCGGCGGAATTGCCAGCAGACTTGCGCCGCAGCGACGGCCGTTTACAATGATCACAGGCGTGATTTTATGGGAAACCAACGAGTTGGAGAATGTCTGGATCTCGGTCAAAATTAAGGCCTGGAAGAGAACCAATTGCAACGCATGGCGCCTTTGCCACAAGGCAGGTTCTATAAAGACATTTACATGTGATAATGTGCGTATGTTTGCTGCCTATGTGTGATTGTAGTGTATGTAATGGCATTACGTTGTAACTGTACCTGCATATCATCTGCGTTAGGGCAGGGGCTATGTCGATTTTTTTTTTTTGGGGGGGGGGGGGGGCTGAGCCTAACGTCAAATTGACACTCGGCGTACCAAAACCGACATGGCACCTTCCCTTAGCACCAGGATGCACCCGCAAAAGGGCTCTACGGCGAACAGTTCCGCGACACCTGAGCTCCACTGAGACTGAAGTAAAGTATTCAGTATTCTGCCATTGTGAGTATTTGAGTATTGCAATTATTGTTTTGGAATTGCCACCTGAGTTGCGCTGGAGCGCGATTTAGGAGGTAGTTCTAGTGCGTCAAGCAATGCCCCAATACTCAAGGAGCTTGTTGAAACCAGCTGCATCAGTTATATTTAAAGCTCATTAATCGTGAACCACAAGTGACTCGGTCGATTGACATCACTCCATCAATAACAGTGCCAACCAACCCCACGGACGAGTATCCGCCCGGCACTGGCCGCTTATTTCTATTGTTCATATAATGCGAATAATCGAAACAAAGGAATGCTATTCCACGGGACACGCACGCTGTCCTCTCAAGTGCTGTTTCCACCTGTACCAATAAACTGGTGCCAGTTGCTTCTGGACCCTATACCGCTTTCCTCCCCAAACACATTTCAGGTTGAGGTCTCAAACTTGCGCCATTTTGCACAACGTCGGTTCACGCCAAAATCGCGCTGAGCTGCCGAAATCCCGTAAATCACAAAGCATCCACTGTAATTACATTATTCTAGCTAGTTATACATTACTTTAATACATTATTCATTGCAGTTTAAGACCAAATATCAGCGGTGTCCTAGTAGCATGCATCTGTTTCTTCGTCACTTTCGTATAAGGATCAAGGATGGATCGACGGACGCGCGAAGACCAAGCTGAACAGCTCTCCGCATCTAGAACGCTCAAGAACAAGCCTGCCCCGGGCCGACAGCCCTCCAGTCGCAAATACAAAGGCAATCAGTGCTTTGCCTGCGCGACCAGCGGGTGTTTGTTTTGGCCAGGCTCCCTTCTAAATTCAGGTTGTGCGCACTCGCGTTTGCCTCGCTGGGTGGCGAGGCAGCGTGCGCTCAACCCAGGCTGGCGAAATCTCAGTTGTGCCATCAATGTCCCGTCAACGTTCATCAATGTCTCATCATGCGGTGGAGGGATCCCCCGGCGGAAAGAGCCCTCAATCGATGATGCCAGGGATGATGGCGCCTGCTATTTCGGCAATTTCCTGCGAGGCAAGAAGCTGGGCTGGGTCAACAGGCGGGGCGGTAGGACGCCAGGGCATAGGCAAGCGTAAGGACCTCCTGCACTGTTCAGTGGCAATGTAATTTCAATCCTGTGCTTTCCTCAGCGCTTTGAGATGCCTCAGCACGTGAGTGCAGGCAAACGCGCGAGATTGTGCTGGGCGCAGGCGCCGTTGCCTGTTGGTGATAAGTTTGATATTTGAATCAGCGCAGTACACAGTCGACCATCAGCACTCCACTGTGACCACTTTGCCATCCTTTTTTGTAATTTGAACAACATTTTGCCAGTGAGTGCTTGGGTGTGCCCTATGTGAATGGCGGGATCTGCAGCAAAAAAATTGAGCCCAGTAGGCATAAAATTGTGTGGTTTTGCAAGTGGGAAATTGAACATAAGTAAGAATGAATATTCATATCCACAATGCAACGTAATAATTTGAATGCAAATGCTCGCTAACATGGTCCAGTCTCCCACACTCGTATCCTCAAAGACACCCTGCTTGTTTAAGGTTGTGCATGAATTTCCCAGAAGTACCAAGTGCTGTCCATAATAGCATTTGGAAAGTGGTCAAATATACATTTATATTTCACAATGGGGTCGTCAAGCAAGAAAGCGTGCGAAAGAATAGATGCTCTCCAAGTCCGACATGAAAGTGGGTGATCGCTGAGAGCGACATTTTGAATGCCATCCTCTACAGTCTTTGAACCCCAACGGCATTCTCATTTGCGAGAAAATTCACCACTTTACACACTTTGGCTACGTAAGCAAATCAAAGCAATGGATCAACATTGTGCCATGTGCTGACAGATCGCGTGAGCACTGCCCCATTTCAATACATTGATACAGGCTCCATATCCGGGACATAGCATAGGATATGGCGGTGCTATATTACACCCAATATCCTCGATGTCGAATACGATATGGGCACGACATCCTGGATAAGCTGGTAGGGATACGGCCATGTGCAGGATATGGACCCCCACATTGTGGATGGCCATATCCTGGTGACGCGGAACCAATCAGCACCTTAGGGAAGACCGTATTTTGAATTTTGTACGCTGAGTGTCAATTGACGTTAAGGGAAGGGGTTCCAGCCATTAATACTTAGAGATTATGTAATTGCAATAAAATCAAAAATAAGGTGGGGAGAAGCAAGAAAACACCGCTGATCAGTGGCAGACAGCTCGTGAGTTGTTGCGAAATCTCCCTCAAACTTTCAATCCTCGAGCAAGTCCTTAGAACAAATCAATTTTCAGGCTTTTGAGCTGCTCCCATCGACCATCATGGCTTTTAGCTCCCACTTTTTCAAATTACTGCAACCGCTACGATTCTGGCTGCTTTTCCCTTAAGATTAACTTGAAGTTGTATCGCACTGCTGGGTATTGTTGTTGCTGAGTCATCCTGGCATCGAAATAAGGATTGACGCTTGGCACATCGACGCAAAGCATAACAAATTCGAAATAGTGTCTTCCCTTACTGGGTCCACTTCTGGGTCCATTTCTCCTTCAATTGCTGAAGACGCCAAGAATTTCCCGCGGGGCGCCAGTTGCGATCCCAGTCCGAGATTTCCCAGCACCGTTACAGAGAGCTGAAGGGACGCTCCCCGCATTTCGCGTGGAGCAGCAAAACTCAGGTGGATTCCTCGGCTGACGGGACCCCCAGAATCGCTCACATCAACACAAACGCCCCCGAATTGGAATGCACACTATTCCTCCTCTGTTTGAGCTCCAGAGGGCAAGCCTGCATCCGCTTGCGCAGGAAGCTTACGGCTTACCCCAAGGAAGTCGCCAAAGGGCCCAATGACTGTAATGACGCCGTCCAGAACCCTGTCGATCCTCTGTCGTGCCGCCGTCTTGGGAGCCGGGGCCTCGGGCTCGATCAGGGGAACGAGATCATCCTGCGGGAGTAAGGAAGGCCAGGTCCAACCCCTCAGCGAGGCCGAAACTCGAGCGGTGACATTCCTCCGAAGGATTGAGCCGCAACGCGGATTTGACAGCCGGTGAAAGCGGGCTGTGGGAATCTCAATCTGCGGAGTTCGTACTTTAGAGCAGCACTTTGTACTGATCTCCGGAGAATGCGGGACACGATGTTGGTACCGCGTGTGGGGCAAACTATGTGGCATACCGTGTGGCAAACGAGCATTCCTGTATTGCAATATTCAACTCAAGGATGTGAAAAAGGTAAAAATGAAAAGGTGCTGTACACCCAAACAGATAACCCCTGTGCACGTGATGGGAATGCCCATGTGCTTATAAAACTGCTTGGGATCGCTTTTTTCATGAATCCTGTGTTTGATGCGCCGAGTTGCGGTCTCCGGGGACCTAAAGCTCGCTGGCAGCGCAGTGGAACAGCGCCGCTCGATGAACCCCAATTTGATGCCATTGCAAAGGATGGCGCAGATCAACACACAGGGGCCCATCGTCATAAGTTGGTCGTTCTTTTGGGAATGGCACTATGTCGAAATTGGTACGCCTCAATCTAAGGCTCAAATTGACGCTTGGGGGGAGGAGTCCACATCTGTGACGCTAAGCGCATAACTACTAAAAAAGACATAAGGGATGGACATCCCCAGAACGCCGCTGATTAGTAGCAAGCAACTTATGAATTGCTTGCTAATAATGATAATACTAATGATAATACTACTGCCTCAAAAACTCCGTGAAGTGTTCAATACTCAAGGTAGGCCCATGCTTTCTGCATTGCACCCATCGTTTGACGCGGCCTATAGAATCCCATTTTACAGCCCCCCAGAATCGCTGAACCTCTGGCGATTATCTTCCTCAAAAATGTCTTGAAATCTGTGTCAGGTCTGATCCTAGCGTCACATTGACGCTATGTGTCAGATATCGACATATTGTCTTCCCTTAATCATCCACGAGATATATTGGATGCTCCCCCAGCCCGTCAGGCTTGTTGAATGCTAATCTGGCCAGAGATGTGTACACATACAAATGTTCGTTGTTCCCATGTTCAAAATTAGGGGTTAATACACCGCGCCATATTTCAACGTTGTTGCATATCTACAACAATACCTAAAGGTAGTGCTCTAATGTCCAATTGCTCGACAAATTTGGCAGCTGATCAATTAATTCCTGCATTTGCCACAATAATCCACAAAAACCATTATTGGCCGTTGAGGCGCTTAGGTCCATTACTCATTTTTGTGCTAAACGCGGGGAGGAAGAATCATGGGTAGGATGACATTGTTTCGTATCGAGGTGCTGCAAGATAGGTTGCCGATGGCTGTTTTTTTCAGCATTCTAAAGTTGCAAATGTAACAAGGATGCTTGAATTCGAGCAGGGCCCTAGCTTTCTGGCATGATAAATTCACCACCGGAAGCAGATGACCAATTCCAACTTCATGAGCACAGTTCCACCGGTGAAACATGGTTCCAACGCAAAATTTTGGGACGTTCGATGATGAAATTCTCGAAGACTGCTCACATCACTGAAGCACCACTATCGCCAAGTCAGCTCTCTTCAAAACTAGAAAGCAAGTTGGGCGACTGCGCTTCCGCCAGCCTTTGATGCTCACCTCGTTGGGCTGTGGTGGTCCTGTGACCGCGGGAAGTGACGGCGGCGGAGGGGGCCCTCTCCCAAGCGCCGCCCGCGCGATATCCAGGAGGAGCAGATGACGGCCTCGAACGGCCACTTGAAACACAACACTGAGTCAGAACACCAGAAACAGCCCCGAACACATGGCGTGGCGCAATGGGCAAGGCGGTGCGCTGAGGACATGCTTCCTTTGGAGAGCATCTCGTGGTGTGGGATCCCTGGGAAGGGAACGAGCGAGTGCGAGGAGTATGAGCTTGAACGCGTTCAATGCGGAATGTTGCTTACTTTTTCATGGCTGCACTTCATCACCTGGGCCGTTTGCTAATATTTTCGGCAGTACGGGAACAGGCGTTCGTAAAGGTGTACAGCGCATTTCCGTTCCATGTAGCTCCACGCAAAGTTTTTCGTCATATGAAGCCAAGCGCGATTAGGAAGGGCTGCCACAGAACGATTCAGCCAGATGAAGCGAATTCAAGATTGTTCACGGAGCAAACTTACTATTTGTCGCGCTCTTGAACCACTTATCGGGAGACGCGCGTGGCTCAGAGGTGGCTCTTTCAAAGAACAGCCGCTTAATGTAAACAGACGACATGGCATCGAACCAGGCACCCAGTCGTACAGTTCGGGTGACGACCTCAACGCGACTTTACATAGACCACTAGCAGAAAAAAGGGCCAAATAACACGTGTTCAAGCGTGTACAAAGTTTACGGGTTTGTGTTATTCTTGTGTTCTTAGCGTGCAGAAATTTGATGAAATGTGTTTTATGTGTGTTCTCAAAAGTGTTATTTGGCCCTTTTCTTCCTAGTGGACCTAACGCGCATTGAAGACTCTTTTCGGACAGACGCTCTACACGAACAGCTGTGGCACCAGGTCGCCAGGGATGCGTGATGAGATGATGGCCGGGGAGGTCGTTTTACAGAAATTGAACGCCGAAGCGCTCGGGTGAGACAATCTTCTGGTTTCCTGGCCATGTCTCAGCACTAGGGAAAAAAAGGGCCAAATAACACGTGTTCAAACGTGTAAAAAGTTTACGGGTTTGTGCTATTTTGGTGTTCTTGGCGTTCAGAGCTTTGGTAAAATGTGTTTTATGTGTGTTTGCAAGTGTGTTATTTGGTCCTTTTTCTGCTAGTGCAGGAGGCGCGCTCGACACGGCCAACGGCTGGCTCGAAACCATGTCGGACGTTGCCGTTGCGCAGCTCAGCGTGCTCGCAGCAGGACATGCAGCGAATCAGGGAATATGGCCCTGGCGACAATGCATTGCCCTCGCAAGCATAGCTGTCGTTTGGGCTATGAAGATTGGCCTGCCCTGACTGAACCACGGTAGAAATTTCTCCTTCATACGGCTGGGCAGCTCATTGGAACGGCGCTCACAGCAACACGGATATGCCGAGTGCGTCAGGGATGTTTGCTCCCCCGCCCACCTCCTTCACAGCCGACCTCCCGTCCGGACACTGCCATGTCAAGAAAAGGCGGAAACGTCAGCCACCAGGTCCACATGCGCGAGGCTGATCGCGGCTTCGCGGATGCCCATGCATGGCCCCATCCCCGGTGCCGTGGCTCTGCCTTCCAAAACAGTGTGGGGATACGCTGCAGGCACTTCTTTCCGCGCACGAAAGCTAACTTCTCGACACCACTGTCTAGAACGCCGCTTTCGTTGTGCGATCACCGCCTTCGCTTGCGCCATCCGGCACAGCGAGCCTCGTCCACCCAGCCAACGATCACGCGGTGCACCAAATCCAACCGCGCCCCCGCCGGCGCCAAACAAGCAAACGCCCCTCCACGGCCCCTCGACCGCCCCTGTCGTGCGCGCAATTTGTGCGACACGACATGGACAGATCGTGCGCTCGATCTGTCGAGCGCTCTGACCGCCCGGGCGCTGAAGTGCCCTCTGCCAATCGGCAATCATGAACAATTCCAGCGGACGCGCAACGAGCAATCCGCGCGGGCCAGTGGCAGGCCGACTTGTCTGGGACAATGTGTCTGGGCCAACTCAGTGCCAACCTCGCGGAGTTCTCGGAGTTGGTACAGTGTGCAGCGCGGTCTGCGATCGATAAGGCGAGGCGCCCTTCCATCAGCGGTCCGATTCCCTTTTCCGATCCAAGGAGCGCATGGCGCGGGCGTGACCCTGGCCCATGCGCCGGTGGGTTGTTCGTGAGGACGGGCACCCGATGTGAAGCCAGCGGTGCTCACCGGTGGGTGCCACAAGGACGGCCGCCAGCAGCGCGGCGGCCAACGCCGCAGCTGCGATTCTCGCCATGGTTGCGGCGCCCGTGCGAGGCGGAGCGCTGAATGCGCCGCTACAGGGCGCCCTTTTCCTCTCCTGGTCTTATCCCCGCAAGCACGGGACAGCGCTCGACTTCAGGGGTGTTGGCCTGGAATTCGCGCCTGACGGCAGCAGTGGGCGGTGGAGCCCGGAGCGGGACATCTTGTCATCAGTGACGCCTTGGGCAAGTCCCCTCGTTGACATCGGCTGAGCGGCGTGCTGTGCTGGAGTTGGCGTGCCAGCGCGTTTCCTCGTAAACGATTGGCGACTTGGCTGCCTCCTTCCGTGTATTGTTCCCTGCGCCGCCACGTGCTGTTCTCTGTGCTGTTTCCACCATCCCCTCCTGGGATACGATGTCCTGCAGCGCGTCCCAAACGCACCTGCGTCGGACACGAAGTTCGGGGTGTGTTCCTTGCAGTCCAGAGGAACTGAAAGAAGCTTGAACGCAAAGTATCCGTCAGTGTGGCGTGGAGTTCAGCTCTCGCACCCAGCAATTTTCCTTCGAGGACTCCCGCTTCCATCTCAACAGCAGCCTGTGATTGATTGATTGATTGGTTGATTGGTTGATTGGCTGATTGGTTGATTGATTGATTGATTGGTTGGTTGGTTGATTGGTTGATTAGTTGATTGGTTGATTGGTTGATTGATTGATTGATTGATTGGGGTGAACACCAGGGCTTGGCAGACCACTGCACACGAGAGCTAACCCCCAAGCAAAGTTCATCTGTTTCTGCCCAGTAAAACAGCAACTTTCCGAGTACGTGGTATTCATCTGGTCCCTGAACCACAAAATGGTAACTGATTGGGGCCGAACCCTCCATCTTCTATGAGAGAGATGGCCCCAGTTTGTCATCATGACAGGCCAGTGAAATAGGCTAAATAGGGGAAGATACCCAAGGGCCCCAAATTTGGTCAGCGTCTCTACATTATCTGAGTACATGCTCGTGACAAACGCCCTATTTTCTTAAATTTCTCTTGCGTCTCACTGATTATCCTTTGCGACTTTGATTCATCATCATCATCATGATTGTTTACAGAACAAGGCAATGAGGTAGCCGTCAGCGACTTTGATTCATTACTTCTCCACCATTGAACTTCAGTTTTCAGTGGGCCGTCAGCCCAAAACTGTGGCCGTGAGTCCGAGTCGTACAGCCCAAAATCTAAAGGACGCATTTCTCGATCATTGAGCTTAAGTTTTCAGTGGGCAGCCAGCCGAAAACTGTGGCGGTGAGTTTGAGACGTACAGCCCAAAATCTAAAGGACGCATTGAATATTTTGTAAGTGCTGCTACATACACGGATGTACTGGCCAGTACACATTCTCAGGTCAGGAAACATGGGTCCGCGATTTCGCCATAAAAAAAGTTCATTTCGTGATGGCGAGGAGCACATGCCTTCGCGATGGCGAAACTGAGCCACCTACATAGCAAAGCCCACTGCCAGCAGCAATAATTTCGCTGTGCCCCATGAAGGCGCAGGCGGGCTTTAGATCTGCAGGGATCCTGGACAAAAGGCGAATTTGGAGAAGATACGACTGACTTCCTCTCTCAAGAACAAAAAACTGACAGTCGGGTTTTGGTCGCCAAACATAACGTTCTGAACTGGTTGTGTGATTCAGAGGCCATTCGCGTAACTGCTTTTTTCTTCAAATAGAAGGCAGCGCGTCTTAAACGTGGGCAGTATCCTTAATGCGGATAAGCAAACATTAATTGCATTCGATGTGTCCGCACCGGTAGAATTAGGCCTGTTTGATATTCCGTTTGTGCAACTGCCCTTGTGGCGCTCCAGGCATACCATGCGGTGGGATCAATGCCACTGGTGCGTATGTAACCACCAGAGCACCAGAATGGGTAGGCGGGCTACTCAAATGCCATTGTGTTGAAACCCGAACATGGATTGGTGTGAAGCTACGTTTGCTGACCAAAGAATCCCACGTGTAGATATCGTGCCCAGCCGTGTCGATATCCAGTTCGCAACTCTTGATCTTGTGCAGCTCCAAACACAACCATATGTTTTTGCAAAATTCTAGGGATAGACCTATTCGAATGGCTAGCATCCCTCTCGCACCGCGATATTCTGTCAGCTGGACCGGACATCTGCGCCGTAGCTGTGCATGTACGCTCCTCTGATTGACCCGGCGTTGCGGCGTCGCGCCGTCGGGCTGACAGCCCAGATGGTCCTCGAAGTATTGGGATTCTGTCAGCTTCAAACGCGGAACAATTCTGTTCAAGAAGCAGCGGGGCCAGACGGTATCGCCGCCGGATGTGCATCTTCCCGCTTTGTCCGAGGCGTTGCGCGGCACTCCCACAGCTAGGATACTCCACACCCAAAAAATATCCACGCGGAAGAGAGTGTATGCATGCTGAGAAGAGTGATCCGGATACTGAAGCCCGCACATTGGCAGGATTGTGCTGCAAGAGCAGAGGAAGAGCGGTTCACCGAGTCTGGGCAACTGCCCTCGAGCTGCAAATTCTTTGGGCGAAAACGGGTGAGAGAATTTCCTCTTGCGGAGCTCCTGGTACAAAAGCGAGATGCCAGGACACAGAAACGCTACACAGGCGCCATGCCCACCCCAGACCCTCGGGCCGCAATGACATCCGAGGCAAGACAAGGACGGCATTATATTCATGGGACCCAATCTGCATTATAAAAAGCGCACGACAACAACTCTCCGCTCTCGCAATGGAGTTCGCAGGACGGACAACCGTCCGTCAGACCATGGACCACAAGCGTGCTCCTTTCGCGGACCGGGTGCTAAACAGTTTATTGACAGCCAGAGCTGCGACTGTGCTGCCGCGAGTGCCCCGCATAGCTAGTTACAATGGCGAACGCAAACCAACACAGCCGGAGGTGGGGCGAACGTGCGGTCCCTTGTACCGGTCCGAGGGACTGGCATGTCTACGGGTGGCGCTTACCGCGGAGCGCCAGGGCACACGAGCCAAGATTGGTCTTCGTCCATGCTATCTGGTGATGACGCCATGGCTCCAGAGGCTTTGGAGCCCTAATCCTCGATAGCAGCGGCGATGACGTCGCCGCCAGCCTCCAGTCCTTCCTGCAAACACACCGCGCGCCGCTTACTTCCATCGCTTACATTTGATTTGAAAAGATGACTTGGATCTCCTGGAGCCCTCAAGCTACGAACGGCGGGTGTCACCACTCAGCAGCGCTGTTGTCCTCCTTATCGGGGCCCGAAATTAGGTTGTTGGTGACCGAACGAAGGTATGTTAACGGCCAGGCGCACGGGCGTCGAAATCTGGTTCATGTTTCAAGGCAGAGCAAGCGCCCCATGGTCGTAAGAGTTCCGTGCATCTTTTGCAGCACTGAGCGCACATTCAGTTTGTCTGCAGTGGACAGAATGCCAGAATCCGAGCTCACTGGATGTTCAACCCTTAACGCATCTTGAAGCACTCGTTTTTTGGACTGAATTCGTTCACCACTTATGAGTTCCCGAGATCCGAGAAAATCGATCCGTTGCTTGTGCACGCGACTGGCTGGTGTCTTGCTGTCGCAGGAAACTATCAGCAGAAAGTTGCAACCACTCACCGCCACGACGTCGGCGAGGGGCTCAAACAACTCCAAGAAGATGGAGAAGAACTCATCGAAGAAGGCCTTGCCGACGGTGGGCTCGGGCTCTCCGGGAAGATCGGGGGCGTTCACGATGTTGCCAGTGGCCTGCACGCGAAATCGAGCTCCGTTCACTAGGGAATATGCACACTGCCCTGGGCGCCACTGCCTCGTCTTGCTGCAGACAACAGTTGGCGCTTCTTCTGACAGTTAGAGGGACTGTGCAATTGGAGGAGCGTGTGCCAAGGGACAGGCGCACTCAGGGCCCAATGCAGAAGCCAATCGTGCCCGGGAACGAGCGGAAAAGCGCACGATGGCAGTGCCTCACCGGATCCAGCCACTTGGTCTCGCTCATGAGGCGCCTGGCCGAGACCGGTGAGGCTGCAGCACAGAAAGCACGCCCCGTGTGAAATGATGCAACGAGGACCAGCTGGCGCTCGAACAAACAGCACGCACAATGTGCGCGAGTGAGCACCATCGCAATCGCAAAACATCGCGGCCCAGACGCCACGCACGGAGGGCAAAGCCTCCATCGGCCGCCGCGGCTGCATTTCTCCAACTGGCGCTGCCGCCATGCGCCCTGCTGGGGAATCGCGGGCTGTTCGGATTCACACCCCCTTGCCAAGGACAACGCAACGCGCAGGGGCCAGGCCATGTGACCCCAAGAATCGGCGACCGGTGTCCTCTGCCATCGCCCCCGGCAGCAGCCCCTCGCCCCGCCACCGCAAAGAGGCCTCTCCCATGGAAAAGAACCCACCGACCACCGGGCGAATCGCGAAACAGGCCCTTCCCCAAACCTCCATGCCAGCCCGGTAATCACATTGCTCCGTCCCCAAATCGCCTTCCGCACATGTGCCAGACGCGGTCCATGTGCATCTCCATGGATCACTCCTCCAAACGAACATCGCCATGGATCTTCATGGACACGGGCAGCACGGAGAGCCGCGAGCAAACGGCGCTCCCAAAAAATGCGCGCCCCACACCTGTGGCCGCGACCACCAAGGACGCCGCCAGCAGGAGGGCCACGCAGACCCTCATGTTGGCCATAGTTACGGGTGGGTGGGTGCTCCTGTCCGATTCGGCTGCAGCCCTGTCTCTCTCTCCGCCACGGGGGGACTGACTCCTCCGCCGCTCGCCGCAGGACAGGACAACAGCGGCTGGCAGGGCCATTAGAACCGCACCCGGCCCGCGCACGCCCCCGGACGATGAGGGACCCTTGACGTGACGCGAAAGGACGGGATGGAATGGAGCGGGGCCGGGGGAGCGTACTGGAGGGACCCTTGTGATGTCGTGAGCCAGGGGAGTATCTGGCAGCTTTTGTGCAGGCAGGACGGGCCACCTGGTCTCATGGCGATCCTCAGGGCGGTGCACAACCGACCCCACCCGAGGAACCACCCCGTCATTGGGAGTTGGCGAATTACTGATTGACTG